GGCGCCATTTTAGAAGGGGATTTTCGCTGCGGGGCCCCGCGCACGCCCTGCGCTGTCCCCGTCCCGGTGCCTTCCCCGCGTCCCACGCGGTTCCCCCCGCCTCCCGGAAAGGCCGCAGCGCAGCGGCGAGAATAACAACCGCACCCCAGAGAGGCCTCAGCCTGCTCGGGGACGTGGAGCGCGCTCCCTGCTTTCCTCAGTTCCAGCCCTGCTGCCGAGCGGCGCCCGGCTCCCCTTCCCCTGAGAAGGGGCAGCGCTTCTCCCCCGATACAAGGGTGAGACAAACTGCCGCGTTTCCGCAGCCGGGGCACTTTCTGGCAGGTGCTGCCAGGCCCCTGGCCAAGTAAAACGCCCCTTATGCCGGCGCTGTTGCACTAGGAGAAGCTGCTCTCACCTGCGGATCAAACATAACGCTCCCTGCAGAAACACAGTCACAGAGGACCGAGGTTAACAGGTAGAACCCCTGCGTCACCCACATGCAAGGTTGCTAATGCTATTCCTAACAGCATGCAAGACTCTGGGGGTACTAATTTTCATTATTACCTTATCTCTCACAGCATATTAATTCAGGGCTATTAGTGCAACAAAGTCTTCTGTGTCAGAAGAGCCAAAACAGTCCTAGTAATCCACATCCCAAGACAAAAAGAAGCACAGAGTCTTGTCTGCTCAGTAGGCTGTTCCTAACCACTACCTACAGTGAGCATAGTGGATGTCTCAGAACTGATTATAAAGTTTGAGATGAGGTTGAGAAATAGAAGGGTTGTAATATTTTGACAATTTAATGCCAGCATTGTCAGGCTAGACAACAGAAACAGGATTAAAAAACAGCTGGCTATAGAAAGACAAAGTCAGTGCCCTTCCATAAGTGTTAGGATACTTCGGTGGCAGCTCATCAAGTTATTCTGGCAGTTTCCTGAACTTGGATTTTTAGGTATGCTTTGCTTGTAAGCCTTGCTTAGGAGATATGTATTGTATTAGCCACAAGTCTTTATAATATAAATTTGTGAATGAAAATTCATTTACAAACGCAAATTTAAGTGAAAACCATATCTTCATAAGTATTTGCACTAAGTTTAAATAATCACCTGTTCTAATTTCTAAACCATTGCAAGTTTAGACAGCCAAGTGCTTCTTTTTTTACAAGTTGGTACATGCAAACTAGCCAGGTATTACAGCAGCACAGATTTCCAAAGTCAGGCCTGGAAGATTAGAAAGTTGAGTTGCTTAAGTGCAAAAGATCACAGACATTATGGTGCAGTCATTAAGGACAAGATCACACAGTCTCTTACCTCATCCAACAGATTTGTTTTAAGATCATTTTGAATCCCTGTGCTTGTTTACTGCACGCTATTCAGCAGACCTTGAAGTAGGAAAAAAACTGAAGCATGAAGAAAACTTGACAGTTCTCCATCTCTGGCTCTTTAAGACTGCAAATCTTTCCTGATTTGTGTTTAGATTGGTAGCTCCCCACCTTTCCAGACAGGCAGGTGAGTTTCTTCAGTGGCAGACACTAGTTTTAAGGTGTGCCTTTCTTTCTCTATCTGTCCACGTTAATTAGTTCCTTTAAAAAGGACCAACAGATCTGAAGTAGCAGGTAGTGAAAAATATGTCAGGAAGGAACAAGTTGCTAGCACTACACAGGTCTTTTCTTGCAGACCAAACAAGAAGGTTATTTTTTTAAAAATACCTCCTTTAAATACTTTGCTTAGTCAAGGGTAATGGTGGAGTCATTACACATGGGAGGGCAGATTAGGCCTGCTCATCTTTTTTTTTTTTTTATTCTACATCTAGGTTATAAGCAGATTTTTTTACACAGAATTTTCAATAAAACCTTTCAACATATCCAAATACTTTGAACAGTGTAGCGAGGTGGTGTTGTATTGCCTTATTTTACAGTTAGGAAGCTGAAAGATTGATTGAAAGATCAGGATAAAAGTGCAATCAAGTCTGAGGGCTCTATTTCGGGGAGAATGTCTTAAAGCCCCCCTAAATGCTGCATGTTCTGTTGTGTGATGTAGGTTCATAACAAATCTGAAGTTTGGTTTGAGACTGTGTAATAGATATGGAGAAATCTAAATTCTGTCCAGGAAAACTAGATTATTTTAATCTCTGCTGGTTTCAAAAAAAAAAAAAAAATATCAAGGAACATTTACACACACACACACTCCCAAATGCCCTGAACAACCCCCCCGCCCCAAGCAGTATCTTATTTCACCAAGAGCCACAATTCATCCCCAGAGAACTCCAGCTTGAGTACTGGAGTACTGAAGTATTATTAAAACAAGAAGGTCAGAACCAAAACTGAGCTCCCCTGGTCCAAAAACACTAGCAGTAGCCTCGGAGCCTGGCAGACAAGGTCTCCAGTCAGTACTCCACTTGAACAGTTTGTTTCCACTACGATCTGTGTATCACTTGGATGGTATCAAACAACTCAATCTGCACTAAGATCCTAAAGATAACTAAAGCTGTTTTAGTTCAGTTGTAAGAGGCTCATTCCAGATATCCATATGGATTGTTACATACATAAATATGGATGTTTAATAAAGCAAGCTGTAGTTAAATAAGACATTTTAGCATAGATAAAAAATAATTTATAATAAATGTATTTCCTAATCTTTCTGCCAGTATCCAACAAGTGTAGTTCCTTCTCTGAGCCACTTAGGAAGGATCAGGAATGAGCCTCACCTCCTACTAGTGCAGTCAGGCTGCTGCAGAGAGGAACTTCAAGGGACAAGGAAAAAGTAATCAAAAGCCTTATGTATAGAAAATGAAGTTAACTTTTGCAAATATATCGAATGTAGGATTTTTCCAGCTCTAATATATTTCATTAAGTTCTATGTGTTGTGTAAGTTTCCTTAAAAAACAAAAGAGTTTTAAAAGTCAGAGTAATAATCACCGCTGACACTGATAGCCGCCATTTACAGGAGCCAACTTATTTGTGCACCAGAGAAGCAAGGTAACTAAAGAAACAACCGTACTTGTTCTGGCGGTGCTGTCACTGCCCACGGGCTTGGACATGAATCCTACCAAAGCTGCAGACTTCAGAGCGTGGCCGTAGCTCAGCGCTAAGTTTTCCGAGGCTTTCTTAGCCAGCGAGAAGATGGGCGCGGACCATCTTGCTTCTTCCGCGGCTTTCTCTCTTCCCTCATTTCTCAGCTCGGCGGGGTTGGGAATGAGGCTTTTGTCGATAATTTCGAAGTCTTCTCCCCGCTCCGCGCCCGCCGGGCTGCAGCTCTCGCCGTCAGCCATCTTGGAGGGGTCACGTGACGCCAGTCATGAGTCGCGGCGGCTGCGCGGCCCCGAGCGCGGGAGCGAGCGGAGCGGCCCGCGCTGCTGCGCGCCTGCCCGGTACGGAACGTCAGCTTCGCTTAGAAGCGGCGCAGGATTTGATTTTTTTTCCCCTCTCCCTCCCTCCCTCCCTCATTTTTAAAAAATGAAACTTAAGAGATTCATATTATTCCTCCATAATTCAGACTTTCCTAACTTGATTAAAATGTGGGTATATGTGGCAGGTTTGGAGTGGTAAAAAGTGCTCTTGGAGTGGTAAAAAGTGCTCACTTACATCAGTGACATTATAAATGAGTTGTAGTCTGTGAGGGTGCGCTAACTTGATTAAAATGTGGATATATGTGGCAGGTTTGGAGTAGTGAAAAGTGCTCACTTATAATGTCACTGATGTAAATGAGTTGTAGTCTGTGAGGGTGCGTCATTAGCGTGGCTTTGTTTTTTAGGAGAGATTGATCATGGAGCGGAACTGATGCCAGTTGGAAAGTTTGGCCTTACTAGGGGTCTTGAATAGCAATGCAGCCCACACAGGCATGGTATAGCATCCATGCTCTCCATCCAGAAACCACGTGTATCCAAGATACTAACCCATGGCTAAATGCAGTAAAGGCTGCATATTAGTTGCATATTAGTTCTTGATACAGTGGTGGTGGTGGTGCTGGGGAACAACACTCCCCCCCCCCCTTTTTTTTTTCTTCCCATAAGAAATAACCAGATGGAGAAGAGGGGAAAGAATAGCAGGACTGGAGTTTTAGTAGTCTTCCAGCAAAGGAAATCTTCAGGTTTGCATTTTACTTGTTTCTCCCACCATAAACTTAAAAGATTGACTGTGTCTTCTAGACTTCTCAAACACTGAAAATTTAACATCTTGTATTCCACAAAACAGGGAAACTAATATTTTTGTTGAGAAATCAGATCAGCAGCCTCTTATTCAATCATTATTTAAGATAAGTAGAGACTTTTAGGTCCACTTGCTAAGGGGTAAAGAAATAAGTTGTACTCCATCTTGTGGACTGAAGTAGTATTTGACAGTGTGTCTATAAGCAATTATTACCCAGTAGCTTTACAGGATCTTATGTTTGACTGCATTAATATAACTATTTGATTTAAGTAAGCCTTGACCTTGACTTTTTGCCTTTTACAATCCACCCAATACTAGAATCAGGACAATATTAGTTAGAGAAGGAAAACAGACTTACAGACTTTGAAATAACCTTTCTCTTTCAAGAAAGATAAGGAACAAGACCTGAAAAATTTGCGACTGAAAACGAGACTCCTACTCATCTCTCACTCTCCTGCTCCCATTAGGTCATGACTCACCTGACTGCCCAGTTTAACATTACAATCAGATAAACATTAAAAATATCCAGTGAAACTAGGACATAGTTTCTTGATCGTCTTTCTGTGTGTTACTATTAGAAAAAACCTTCTAATGTGTATAGTAAAGAAATATTTGGTCATTTTATTTTAGTGCATGTTGGAGCTCATATAGCAACTTTTATACTGTACCTAAGAAAATTGGTGGGAACATTTTGCTACACAGTCATACGATTTCTGACTATATGGTCAAAGTGACTAATTTTAGGAAGTCGGTCACTGACCACATTAAATGTCCTTTCTTCCTCCTTTTCATTTTAAAGCAAACAAGATGTCTTGCAACACTAAATGATCTCTGCGGCAGGGAGTCTTTTTTTGTTGTTTACAAAGTGTAATAGTTTCCCTATAGAGAGTCCATGGAGTACGTAGCTTAAATAGGACACAGCTGAAAGGTTTTTTTTTTTTTTTTAAAGGTAAATTATTGCTTCAGTTTCAATTCACATATTTGACAAGGAAGTTACTGAACTTTGTCACTCTGTCTCACTATATAATTTTAAGAGAAGAATCAACAAGAGAGTTCAGACAAACCATTCAAAAGGAACAGCTAGAATGGCATGATATACACATACATAATACAGCTATCAAGAATGATCTTCCAGTGACTACAGCATCATCACATGTCAATAGAACATTAGCTGCTTCAGGTGTGGTATTCCCTCCCACCTTTTCCTACAAGCCTTAAATCATTCGCCCACTTGTGCTTTGAAATATATGAATGGGGAAAAGCGTTATTAGTAGCAAAGGATAACATATTTCCTTCAGGAACTGAAAAAAAAAAATCTTGATATCACTAAATTAATTCCCCCATTATATCAGCACCATCAAGTCATTAAACTTTTAGAGACAACAGTTTAGCTGTTATTGCACTTACAGTGCAGCTAATCAGTTAACAGCCTTGCCAATCAGCTTTAATCAAAGAGCTTGCTTAAGAGCCTGAAATTATTTTCATTTGAGTCATTGCACCTGTCTTAAAGCAGTTATTACTCTACCACAGCTTTATGTTTCCCCATCCAAATGCACTAGTTCATGCCATCCTTGAGAAAAAAATACCCTTGTTGCTTCTGAAAGAATCATCTTGAAACTAATTTCATAAGTCACTGGAATCCCTGAGAGAAAACTGAAGTAGTTCTAGATGAAAGTAATGAAACAATCTGAATTAAAGAGACGAGTAATTTACAAGGAGGAGGACCAGAACAGTGTATATGTTTTTCTAGTCTATTACTTTCTCTTTAGGAAAAAAAAAAATAGAAACACAGTGGGCAAGAATATCAGAAAGCAGATAAAAATTACATGCTTACCAATTTTCCTTTTTTGTGCTGTAATACAGTATTTATCAGTAGAGGAAACAGAGCCATCAGTAGAACTTCCCACTAGGCGACACTACAGCACTGCCTTATTCACAGTGCAGAGTCTGCCGTGGAGCATCAATGCGCCATAAGAGCAAATACCGTGTTGTGGAGGTACCTGGGAAACAGCAAAGAGCTCTCAAGATGTTACCTTTCTAGCAGGTTTTGAAAATAGGAGAGTTTTGACCAGTCTTAAAGACAGACAGGGATTTTGGACATCTTTATGTAACCTTCTGTTGGGAACAGAACTGAAACAACAGTCTTACTATCCTAGAAACACCTCTTTTTTTTTTTTTTTTTCCTCATTGGGGTCGGTAGTCTAAAAAGAATTGTAGATCTGGAAAGCAAGCTAAGATACATACCTGAGCAACTCACAGTGCTGCAGCCTCCGGGACATAAGCTGTGCTGACAGAGGCCATTTTGAGAAGAGGAAGCACTTGCCTGGCTGGCTTTTATAGGAGGTTCAAAGTTGTGTCAGGTGAACATATGCCTGCACATACTCTCTGTTGTAATCCTTGCTCTGCATAAAGTCAGGGTCATTTACTAGTTTCAGAATTTCATGGGATATTTTGGTATGGTCAGAATTTACAGGAAATTTGGGTTGTTAAGAGTTGTTGCATAATACTGCAAATCCTTCATAGGAGTCAGAAAGGAGTTATAAATTTTCAGCTAGAAATAAGCAGAAAGGGTCTAATAACAAATACCTTTAGTATGCTGCCGATGGCATTAACAATAATGTGCTGAGTTTCTGTGGGCCCTCTCCTCATGTAACACAGGTCTTTTAAACTCTCTCTCATGATCAAGAGGGTTCCTTTTCAAACAGAAGACCTCCTCCTTGGGGCTGAAGTTTAAAAGCATGTAAAGATGAAAGTTACTGAATTTATCAAACAATGAAAGAACCGTAATTTATAATAACGAGGGTGGCAATAAAGAAGAGTAGTAATGACATGAATTAAATAAAGTGGAGATCATTCATCATTTTAGATGAAACTTTTGAGCTGTGTGAAAGAGACCTTTAACTGAATTGCTACTTTGTGCAAATGGGGAGACAAAGACACCTCCAGTAGACAGCTATATTTTGTTAAGAGAGAGTAATAATTGGCTTCCAGCTGTTAAGATATGGTGTCTTGCCATCTTTCCTTTTCCTTTTGGTTCTATTAATTCCAAAAGATTTTACACATTGCCCTTATTGCTGCTTGGAAATATGATATTAGTAACTGTAACAGTCCTGTGTGTGAATCATCCTTTTTTTTTTTTTAAACAAAACAAAACAAAACAAAACAAAACAAATGCTGGATCTTAATCTGGAGATGACCCTATTCACTGATGCGAGGAATAAAAATGCAAGGTCTTAAAATAATAAAGGCTGAAACTAGAATAGTTTCATTTTTTTTTCCCAATAAATATAAACAAGCATTCATTTTTAAAATATAATAAGAATAGTAACAAATTCTATAATTCTCTGCAAATTACTGTTTCAGGCTGTGGTCTTGTCAGATTTTATAAGCTCCTAACTCCAGTACTGCCCGGATGTGCTGGTATTGCTTTCCCTTGAGTCAATGCTTTATAATGGTTTAGAGCATAGGGCCACCTGAAGTGCAAAGTTTCAGATAATACAGAGGCTCTAGTTTGATCTTTAACCATTTCAGGGTTGTCATTTGCAGTCATTAAATAATGAGGTAAAAGATCTGTGTTGTTTCACAGTGCTATACAGTGCGTTACCAGGGCTGTCCTGTGACTCCAGAGAAAGTGGTTCAGGTGCATCTCCAGATATTACAGGATGGCTCTTGTCAGTGTCTATTCCCAGAATGGGCAAATTTCAGTTTGAATATTAGTGTTTTGTGCAGGTTTGTTTCAGAAAATCCAACCAACAGTTTAAAGTGGTGGAGAAAATCTGGATATGCTGCTGAAAAAGATGGCTAAGTGAGATATGAATGCAGTTGCAGATGGTTTCATTTTAGTTGTGAATCAGAACATTGTTCAAGAGTTGCATGGTGTCAGAAAAGTAGTAGAGTTTGTTTTTAGGAGAAAATATTATGTCCATATGTAAGACAAATATGACTTGATTTAAAAAATTTACAGTTTTGTACCTAAGCCGTATGGCATTTTACTGAAGGTGAAGCCTCATGACTGAGGAGGGACTTAGAAGATATTTGTTCTGTTCCCAGATCTGTGCTCGATTGTGTAAGTGCTAACTTTTATATTGCTAATGTACCATCTTCCTTCATTTTGTCTACTTTGACTGTTAACTCTTTGGAATGGGGACCTTCTTATTTACCTCGGCTTGAGAAAGCAGTTTTCTATAGGTGGCACTTAACAATGTGCTCTACTTTCACATGT